CCACCCTAAACAGAAATTCTATACCCATTAGGCAATAATCCCCCGGCCCCTTCTTCCCCCATCCCCTGGTAACCACTCACATACTTTCATCTCCATGTAGTTGCCTATTCTAGATATTTCATATCACTGGGGTCGTACAGTATCTACTTTTTTATTTTAAAGCAAATCCAAAATAGTATGTCATTTCACTCCTACATATTTCACTATGCATCTCTAAAAAACTATGGCCATTTTCTTACATAAACATAATACCATTATCACACCTAATGAAATGATCAGTAATTCCCTAGAATTATCTAATGTCCAGTCCTTATAATTAAATTTCCCTGATTGACTCAAAAATGTCTTTTTTTGCAATTGTTTTGTTCAAATGGGTGTCTGAACAAGGTCCTCAAATTCACATGTGGTTGTTAAGTCTCTGTTAATTTAGAGCAACCTCCTTCCTTCTTTTAATTCCCTGCCATTGACTTATTAAAAAAATGAGATTCTTTGTCCTATAGAATGTCTCACATTGTGGGTTTGGCTGTTTGTTTCCTTGTGGTGTCATTTAGCTTGTTCCTCTATCCCTTCTGTTCTCTAATGCTAAATGGAAGTAAGGAGCCCTGGTGGCGCAGTGATTAAAGCTCTCAGCTGCTACCCAAAAGATCGGTGGTTTGAACCCACCCGCTGCTCCGTGGAGAAATATGTGGCAGTCAGCTTCCATAAGGATTTACAGCCTTGGAAATCCTATGGGACAATTCTACTCTATCCTATAGGGTTGCTATGAGTCAGAATTGGCTTGATGACAGCGGGTTTGGTTCTTTTTGTAAATCGAAGTTGACACTAAAGGCTTGATGAGATCCAGGCTCAGCTTCATTGGCAAGAGTACTTCATAGGTGGTGCTGCCAAATGATGCTTTTGACATGATGAATTCCTCAAGAGATACGTGGGCAGCAGTCTGTCTTCTCTGGAGCCTCACTAGAGAATATTTTTTTTAAAACTAGCTCCCTGTTTCTCCTCCTCTATACAACTACTTTCTAGAACAGGAGTAGCTGTCTGAATATCAGCTTATTAATAAACCTTATGAGTTAAAGATGGGAAGACAAGAACCTGGCAAGCCCATACCTTGGTCACTGACTGCCTGATGGCTCCTTTCACTCATAGTTTTCTACAGGATTGTGCTGTTCGATAGAACTTTCCATGATGTTGGAAACGTTCTGTATCTGGATTCTCCAGTATGGTAGCCACTAGTTACATGTAGCCAGTGAGCACTTGAAATTGTGGCTAGTGTGGCTGAGGAACTGAAATTTTAATTTAATATACACTTAAATAGTGCCATGTGACAAGTGGCTACCATATTGGACAGTGAGGCTGTAGAGTCATTTTTAAATGACTTGAGGCACAGCTTTTCCCACCTGCCTTAAGACGAAACTACCTCTGTTTTTTTTTTTTTTTTTAAGTTCTATTTAACATATTTGGTTAGTGAAATTGACTTTTGCAGAGCTGCTACTAAATTTGGTAGCAGTTTGGGTGCTCCAAATGAGCCACTAGTTCACTAGATACACTTAGTTGATGATAGAAAGGAGTCGCTGATTGCAGGGCAAAGCTAGACTCAGGCCCAGATCCTGAGAGCAGTGTTGAGTGCAGAGGGATTCCCTGTGTGCCAAATTGATAAGGAGCATTTGATTAAGGAGCAAATTTCTAATTGCCATCAGGATATGCAGGTAACAGGCATATTACTGATCAATAGATACATGAAAGTAGACTTTGTCTGCAAAGAATCTCAGATGCCAGTTTTTTCTTTTCAAACCATGTGCCTAATGTAACTGATGTCCACAGAGGTAGGGGTGTATATACAGATATTATATCTGATGTGTTCAAACTGACAAAATGTTGGGTACCGTCAATGTTTAAGGTATTATATTCGGCGAAGTGATAGATGTAAAGATGACTAAGACACGGTCCCTACCCACAAGGAGCTTGCAATCTAGTAATAGATTATTATCTATTGAATGTTGATTATGTGCTGAGCATCATTCAAAATTCTCAGTTGATCCTTACAACAACTTTACATAAGGAAGGCATTATTAGCACCGTTACAGAGATGAAGAAATTGAGACCTAGGGAGGTTAAGTAAGTTACTAGTTCAAAGTAGCACAGCTACTTAAAGGTAGAGTCAAGATGCAAACCCAAGCCCAAGCCACCATATGTCTCTCCTGGATTATTGTAATAGTCTCCTGACTGGTCTTCATACCTATGCTTCAAACCCTGCTGTATCACAGCAGCCAGAATGATCCTTTTAATTCATAACGCAGATCTGTCAGATCAATGTCATTCGTCTGCTCAAAGCCCTGCATTGCTCCCTCTCTCTCACTTAGGGTAAAAGGCAAAATCTGCACAGAGACGTACAAGGCCCTATTTTACCCACCGCTCTTACCTCTTTGACTTTGGTGTTCATTCCTCTCTACTTCACTGGCTTACCTTAAGCCATGCTGGCCGCCTCCCATTTCAGGGCCTTTGTACTGGTGGTTCCCTCTTTTAAGAACATGCTCCCTCCAGATATCTCAGTGGTCACTCCATCACCTCCTTCCAGTCTCTAAATAAATGCAAACTTCTCAATGACACCTGCCCTGAACATGTGTTCTCCATACCCTTACCCCACTTTATTTTGTCCATTATCAGTTATTACCTTCTAGTATATTTTATCCACCACCCATCTGTCAGTTTGTTGTACTGTAGTGGCTTACGTGTTGCTATGATGCTGGAAGCTATGCCACCAGTATTTCAAATACCAGCGAAGTCACCTACAGTAGACAGACTTCAGTGGAGCTTCCAGATTAAGACAGACTAGGAAGAAAGGCCTGGTGATCTACTTATGAAAACCAGCCCATGAAAATCTATGGATCACAACAGATGTGGTGCTGGACTGGGCAGCATTTTATCCTGTTGTGCATAGTGTCGTCATGTGTCGGAGCCGATGTGACAGCAGCTAGCAAAACAATGTTATATTGTATAATTTACTTATTTATTTTTAACAAATGCATTAATCTGTTAATAAATTTACTGCTAATAACTATTACACCCCCACCCCCACCCCACAAGAATGTAAATTTTATATGGGCAAGGATTTCTTTTTCCATTTTGATCACTGCAAGTTAGCAGAACACATTACATTAGCCCTCAAGGCTTGAAAATAATCCTCTGTTCTCTGAGACAATTTACACAACAGCCCGGCCCTCCAGACTCCAGGTATTGGCCACAGTCTCCGGATTCTGAGTGGAGGCCCCCCGGCCCTGGGCTTCAGCTCCGCCTTCCAGGCCCACTGGGATGGTAACTCTGCTGCCTTGGCTTTAGGCGTACCATTCTCCTAGTCCTTCGGAGTTACAGCTCCACCCTTAGACACACCAGAAGCCATGGCTCCACCCTTTGAAACCCTTGAGGTCATGACCATACCTTTTGAGACTGAGGCAGCTTGGCTTCTTGTGTTCCTTGCCTCTTCAGCTTCTGCTTTCTGTGGCTTCTTGGCCCTCTGGCCTCACACCCACATCTGCCCTGCTGGGGCAAGTATTCCAAACCTCGGTATCTCCACTGATTAAGTGCCTGGAGGCACCCCACTCCGCCAGGAAGCCTCCTGCACACAGGCACTCAGCTCTCTTGCTCTGTGGGTCGGCTCCAGTGCTGTCTCGCACTGGTCTCCTGGTTCTTCTGCTGTTGGTTCTCTGTCGCTGCCCCTTCTCTGCTGCTGCAGGTTCTCTGCCACTGCTAGCCCTCTGCTGCTGCCGCACCTCTCTATTCATTCACAGTTTCAAAACCGTTTCCACTTTTTAGGTATCTCTTAGAGCAGCACCCCACTCCTGGTACCAAATTCTGTCTTAGTCATCTAGTGCTGCTCCAACAGAAATACCACAAGTGGACGGCTTTACAAAGAGAAATTTATTCTTTCACAATCCAGTAGTCTACAAGTCCAAATTCAGGGCATCAGCTCCAGGGGAACGCTTTCTCCACTGGCTCTGGAGGAAAGTCCATGTCATCAGTCTTCCTTTGGTCTAGGAGCTTCTCTGCGCAGGAACCTCAAGTCCAAAGGATGCGCTCTGCTCCCAGCACTGCTTTCTTGGTGGTATGAGGTTCCCATATATCTCTGCTCGCTTCTCTCTTTTATATCTCAAAAGAGATTGCATTAAGACACTAATCTTGTCAACCTCATCAGTATAACCTCATCACAGTGATAGAATTTACAACACATGAGGAGATCACATATACTGTCATCATAGTGGTAGAGTTTACAACACATAAGGAAATCACATCAGATAACACAATCATACAATGCTGGGAATCATAACCTAGCCAAGTTGCTCAAACATTTTTTGGGGGACACAATTCAATCCATGACAACTGCCATTTTCCAAACACCCAGAACAGTGCCTCATACATAGTGTGTGTTCAGTAGATGTTTGTTGACTTAAGAATTGTAACTCAGGTATGTCCAATTTCACAGCCACTGAGTCATATGTATTTATACTTTGTATGTGAAAACATGCCTATTTATCTATACCTGTTAAGTTGTCCTGGATACTTAAAATGCATGACTATGTAGGATCATACAGAAAAACCAGAGTAACGTGCGTACATATGTCGCGCCCACTTCCTTTAGTTTTAAGGTCACTCTTGGCTCTGTACTAATGAAACTATCATCTGTGGCTTATGATAGGGCCAGACATGGTCTGGAATTGTGGACGATGAGCTTCCACGGGTGAGACTACTGCCGCAGCATTTGAAGAGTGGCTTTTGTGTATGTGTGTGGTGTTGTCCCCTACCAAAGCCGAAATACTGTGCTTGTTATTACCAGCCTTGTTGCAAACTGAGGCACGAGAAGATGAATGAGGAACATGGTACCTTAGCCAATATATGTAGTGAGTAAGAAAGGATATGATTTTAGAATCAAGCTACAGGTTTTGCCATCTGCTAGCTATTCAAAGTATTTAATAGAAATCTTATTTCTCTTTTTGAAAAAAAAAAAACAGGTTATTCTTGGTGAGAATTTGACTTCAAATTGTCCAGAGGTTATCTATGAAATTAAAGAAGAAACACCTGTTTTCTACAAACTTGTTCCTGATCCAGTGAATAATAGCTACATCTATCTAACAGCTGGGAAAGAGGTAGGTGGAAATACTAGTTATTGTTTCTGACTTATGAATAAGAATTGTTTAATTGATGTCATTATCCACTAAGCTTTTACTTTGAGCTACTGAGTTTGAGTGCTGCCCCAGGCTTTGAGGAGACCCACAATGGTGCACAGGCATGGAACTAAAAAACTGTACTGTCAGTAAGTAAGCAAGAAATATTGCCTATTTAGACGATTTTATTATTGGCTATATTTCCAGTGCCAAGTTTTTCAGAGAAGGCCGTGCTTTCAAATGGGCGCATAATCAGCAAGGTAACTGAATTTCCACATTTATTTTGTGGGCACTGAATGGTTAGATGCATTTTTGAATATACCCAATGGGACTTGGTTTGGAATTTGGGTTAATATCAGGCCACCATCTCATACACATTCATGAACCAGGAAATATATGGCCCTCACCCTCCCTCTTTTATCTGTTTTAGTTTTTCTTCTTCCTTCTGCTTCCTGAAATAGAAATAATCCCTTTTTACGTTTTATTCATTTTTACAAAGTGCTTTCATCAACGAAGGGGAAAGGAAACTAATTTGTATTGAGTCCCTGTTGACTATGTACTAGTTACTGTTCTAAGCGTGGTCTCTTTCTAGATGCATAATGTCTGAATATATATATATATATAAAGCATAATAAACAATGTTAATGAAATATGTTAATTTAATGAGATGAAGTCACTCTTGTTTTATAGATAAAGACTCTAGGACTTGGAGAGGTTAAATAACTCAAAAACATACAGTCAGTCCTCATTATTTGAGAATTTTGTATTTGCAAATTTGCCTGCTTGCTAAAATTTATCTGTAACCCCAAAATATCAATACTTGAGAGGCTTTTGAGGTCATTGGTGAACATGCACATGCACAGAGCGGCCAAAAATTTAAGTTGCCCATAGACTTCCAGGCAACATGGCGCTGTAGTCAGAAGAACCACACCGTCCCTCTGCAGCAAAGATCAGAAAAACTAAGTCAAACAGAGGCACATGTCAGTCCTGAAACCCTAAGCATCAAATGAAGAGATAAAGAACTTAGCCAAGCACTGAATGGAATAAGAAACTGACCGAGAACAGAGCGCGAAGAGAGATACGTGCAGAGGTCCCCTATCAGCTACTGCAGCATGGATCCGACATCTTGGACTCCTATGATGGTAAAATTAGGTCATTTCCAGATAAACAGAAATTAAAGGACTATGTAAAAACCAAACCAAACTTACAAGACTTATTAAAGGAAGTCCTTCAATCTGAGAACAAACAATATTGGACCACAGGCTGAATATAGGACACAGGATTCTACTAGCCAGTTACCAACCTAGGAAATGAACTCTTAAGGACTATGCAAAACCAAAAGAATTACAAAAGGGAGCCAGAGAGGTTAATCTGTAAATGACAACCGCATCAGAAAAATAAAAGAGGGAATAAACGGTGTAGGTATAGAACCTTCTAATGGAGAGGAAGTCAAGCGATACCAAGTAATAATAGACTGGTTCAAATCTAGGAAGATAAGGGTAAATTTCAAGGTAACCACAAAGAAAGTTAACAAACCTACTCATCAACATAAAGAAGAAAAACATAAAGTCTCAGTAAAAACAAAACCTACAAAAACAAAAGAAATGAAAAAAAAAAATCCACAAACAAAAGGAACTCAGCACAGGACAGTAAGAGGAAAAAGGAAAATATCAGCACTGCAAAAAAAAAGGCAAAATGCAATCCCACTCCTAGGAATATATCCTAGAGAAATAAGAGCCATCACACTAATAGACATATGCACACCCATGTTCATTGAAGCAGTGTTCACAATAGCAAAAAGATGGAAACAACCTAGATGCCTACCAACAGAAGAATGGATAAACTATGGTACATACACACAATTGAGTATTATACAAAGATAAAGAACAATGATGAATCTGTGAAGCATCTCATAACATAGATGAAACTGGAGGACATATGCTGAGTGAAATAAGTCAATCAAAAGGAAAAATATTGTATGAGACCTCTACCATATAACTCATGTCAAAGTTTACACAGAAAAAGAAACAATCTTTGTTGATTACGAGGGATGGGAGGGGTAGGGGGGAACTAAATAGATAAGTGGTAACTTTGGTGAGGGGTAAGACAGTACACATTACTGGGGAAGCCAGCACAACTTGTACAAGGAAGGGTCATGAAAGCTCCATAGACACTTCCAAACTCCCTGAGGGACTGAACTGCTGGGCAGAGGGCTGTGGGGACCATGGTCTCGGGGAGCATCTAGCTCAATTGGCATAACACAGTTTGTAAAGACAATGTTCTGCATTCTGCCTTGGTGAGTAGTGTCTGGGGTCTTAAAAGCCTGTGAGCGGCCATCTAAGATACTCCACTGGTCTGACCCCTTCGGGAGCAAGGGAGAATGAAGAAAACAAGTACAAGGAAAAGATTAGTCCAAAGGACTAACGGACCACAGCTAGCACTGCCTCCACCAGACTGAGTCCAGTACGGCTAGATGGTGCCTGGCTACCACCACTAACTGCTCTGACCGGTATCACAATAGAGGGTCCTAGACAGAGCTGGAAAAGGATGTAGAACAGAATTCTAACCCCCCCCCCAAAAAAAAGACCAGATTTACTGGCCTGACAGACTGGAGAAACCCCGAGAGTATGGCCCCCAAATACCCTTTTAGCTCAGTGGTGAAGCCTCTCCTGAAGTTCACCATTCAGCCCATGGATTGGACAGCCTCACAAAGCAAAACGGGACTAATGAGGCACAGCAGTCCAGGGACAAGGACTAGAAGGCAGGAGGGGACAGGAAAGCTGGTGATAGGGAACCCAAGGTTGAGAAGGGACA